ATATGTATTAGTGTTCGAAGTGGACTAAATGATACTAAATTGTGAACAGTTTGGTTCAGGGTGGACTGTGGAATCTAAAATTCGAAAATATTGTATGGGGATCCCTTTTTATAGTAGGTTTGTGATAAAGAGGTGGTTTTGGAAATATGTACTACAAGTCCACGAAAAGTACCAAATAGTATTGTCTTTCGTAAAATTTGGTATATCATGCAGATGGCACTTGAAATCTGAAATTTGGTACAGGGATCGCTGTCCATGCGTACTACATATAGATGTGGTTACGGAAATGTACACAATAATTGTACGAAAAGTACGAAATGGTACCAAATTTGGTCTTGATTGAAGGGATAGAAGTGTTTGATACTTGACGGTGGTTTGGAAATGCATCTTATATTTGTACGAAAAGTACTAAATGGTACTAAATTTGATATTAGCTGAAATTTGATACAAAATTGTCTGTTAGTATCTGGAAATTTGTTATTTGGATGAACATTTTTTTTTTGAACATATGGATTAGGTTTCGGAAATTTGTACTATCGTTGTACGAATAGTACTCAAGGATACTATAGTTGGTATTAGGTGACGGGATGGAGATAAAATTCTGAGAGTAAAATACTGTGGGTAGGTTTGCGATAAAGAGGTAGACTTGGAAATGTGTATGCAAGGGCACGAAAAGTACTTAATAGTACTATATTTGATACAATTTGGTATTGGGTGAAAATTTAGTGCTTGAAACTGAAATATAGTATAAGGGTCGCTGCTCATGTGTATGCTGGACATTAAGAGGTGAAAAAGTACGCAATGGTATAATATTTGATATTTGGTTAAGGGATAGAGACAAATTTCTGAAATTTTATGTTTGAGTTAATGATGGTATCTGTGTGTGATATTCTGTATTTAGGTCCCTGTTAGTGGTCGATTTGTGATAAGGGTAGGTAGTTTTTGAAATGTGTATGCAAGTGGACGGATAGTACTAAATAATACCTCTGTTGGTATCTGGAATTTTAGGAAATGTGTACTATAATTGTACGAAATGTACTGAATGATACTACATTTGGTATTGGGTAAAGGGATAGAGATAAAATTCTGAAATTTGATATTTTGATAGGTGTTGGTATCTGAGGTTGAGATTTGGCAATTGTTTGGAAATTCGTCCTTCATTTGTTCGAAAAGTACTCAAGGGTGCTAAGTTTGGTGTTCGGTTAAGAAATAGAGCTGAAACCCCGAAATTTTATCTTGAGGTCATTGCGGGTATCTGGGATTGAGACATGGGGAGTGGTTTTGAAATGTGTCCCAAACTTGTACGAAAAGTACTAAATGGTATTAACTTTGCTACTGGGTGAAGTGATGGGGTTGGAATTTCAAATTTGATATTGAGGTCGCCGTTGGTATCTGGCATCTGGCATAGTACTAAATTTGGTATTTTGCGAATGGGATCCCGAAATTTGATATTGTATCTCTGTTGGTATCTGGAAGTTTGGAAGTGTGTATCATAATTGATCGAAAAGTACTAAAAATGGTACTAAATTTCATATTGGGTGAAGGAATAGAGGTGGAATCTCTAAATTTGATATTGAGATCACTGCTGGTAACTGCGACATGAAATATGTCCAACAATTGTACAAAAAGTACGAAATAGTACTAAATTTATTACTGGATGAAGAGAAAATCCTGAAATTTGATATAGATGTCACTGTGGAGGAGGTTCTGGAAATATGTACTATCATTGTTCGAAAAGTACAATGTTGTGCTTAGTTGGGTATTGAGTGAAGGAATAGAACTGGAATCCTGAAATTAGATATTGAGGTCACTGCGGGTATCTCGGAATGATATATGAGGGTCGTATTGGAAATGTGTCCTATAATTGTATGAAAAGTACTAACTTGTACTAAATTTAAATGCATATTTAAAATTTAATTAAATTTAATTTTAATGCAGGGATTAAACCCGAAATTTTTTATAGATGTCACTGATTGTGTCTCTGGTTAAAATATGGAGGAGGTTTTGGAAATATGTACTATCATTGTTCGAAAAGTACAAAATGGTATTAAATTGGGCATTTGTGTCTATGGTTAAACTATGGATGTGTGTTTGGAAATTAGTACTATAAATGTTCGAAAAATATTAAATGGTTGAGTGGCAGCGTTGAGATGAAACCGTGAAATTTGGTGTTGATACCAATGGTGGTGTCTAGGATAAAGATATGGAACGGTTTTGCAACTGAGTGCTAAAATTATACGAAAGGTGCTAAATATTACTACATATCCTATTCACTGAATGTATATGAATCGCGAAATTTGATATTAAGGTCTCTCTTAGTATCGTGGGTTGAGATCTATTGGTTGATTTGTCAATGCGGAGAAAAATTGTACTAAAAGGTACTTATTTGGATTACTGTCGGTGTCTAGGATTTAGTGAGATTTTGGATATGGGTACTAAATTTGGTATTGGTTGAAGCGGTGAACAGAAATTCTAAAATTTTATAGTGGGGTCCCTGTTGGTTTCCAGGGCTTTAAAATGGAGAATTTGAAATAGTTTTGGACACACAAATTTGGATGTAGGTCCAGATTTCTACTCAGTGAGACCTTAGATGCTGCATAAAAGTTTTCAGAAATTTAAATTTTTATTCTCAACCAAATTTCTACCTTTTATAATATAAATAAAAATTATAATAAAAATATCTTCCCAAGAAATATTTTTTGATTGCCTATTAGAGCAGAAATTGTAAGGATTATAAGAATGTGTTAGGAAAAAAAATTAAAGCCTGGGGAGATTTTGAATGCTATTTTTAATTTATAACTTTTTCTCTAAAATATGTTCGAAGGAAATCGGACTCTAGGACTAACTTCAGCTCAGCTTTCGTCAATGTTTAGTTTTGAGAAGTATTTCTGAAAATTTTGCTATGGTTAGGCAAAGATTCCTACTCTATAAATGATCAGTAAGACCTTAGATGCTGCATAAAACTTTGCAGAAATTTAAATATTTATTTTCAACCTAATTTCTACCCCATTAAAAAATATTTACTAACATTAAAGTTGCCCTGATTTGTTGTATTCCAACCTTAACCGAATTCAACTTTAAACTTTTCCACAACTGCCCTCCACAGTTCACCTCTGATCCCATTGTGGCCTGTAACCTCTGATTTAGTTTCAGATTTACTGTTGAACCTTTTATGATTTATGTTTTCGGTGGAAAAGTTTGCATTTTAGCTATTGTTGCTGCTGCTGCTCAAAAATTGCAATACAATATTTCAAACAAACACCCACCATCCATTGTTCATACTATACAGCCAACGAAACATTTTCAACGAAATCTAATGGGATCAATTCGTTGAAAATTTCTTTTTGATGTGTGTTTAAAAAACAACATGTCTGATGTGAGCTTTTGGTTTGGTGAAAATTTTTGGAATATAAATTTTGGAAATATAATGGAAAATATATGAAACCGAACAATAAAAATTAAAAAAAAAAAATAAATATAAAATATTAGTTTTTTCCACAAATCTGGGAAATATTTTAATTCGCAGCTGTAAGACAAAAAATATTTAAGAATAGTAAATTTTAAATAAAATTAAAAACTGACTATTTTTAGTGAATTCTATATCTATTATTTAAAATTCGAAATTATGATTACATCATATGAGGCAAATATTAAACATGTGCACGGCATCAAATGCTTTACACAATGGAAGCAGTGCCCAACATTTAATCCCCACATAATAAAGGTACACTGATGCGTATACGTTATGTGACCATATAATTTAATGCTCATACGCCATGGGGACCAGACTGGGGTATTTGTATTCAACCGGAAACATAGATCTTTGTTTAATGTCTCAACACAAAGACTGAAAGCGGAAACAATTATTTTTCTCATTAAAGAAGGGGTTGTGGGAGGGGAACTAAATCTCACTTCCTTTAATCTGGTATGATGCATTGTAATAAATCGATACCATGACTCTAAAAATCAAATGAATTTAATGGAAAAAATTTCACTTATTAATTTAAAAATGCATGAATTTCAAATAAGTTTTAAAATTTTATGCTTTGCACAACGAGATTTGGATTTCTTACGTTTGGACGGTTAATAATTTCCAGGCCGTTTACGGTAATGGAAGTGTCCTGTTGGGGTGCTTACCAACGTTTCCAGAGTCGGCCACCACGGTTCAAGGTACCCCGGTCGACTCGATCCACTTACACTTTGGCAGGACGCGCTTTGATGGTGCAGCACGGTGACGATGTCTTCCCCTTTGGGCAAGGTTCTGTTTCAGCACACACTGTTGATGAAGGCAGTGAACGTTCCACTGTTCGGGCAAGGGCAAATAGCACGCAATATTTGTAATATGATTATTTCTCGTTGGCGCTTTATTTCACTACTTTTAATTTATTAGTTTATTCGCACCGATTCACTATAATTTTCCCACAATTCCAAAGAACTAACACTTGTGCTTTATTTTAATAACTTTTATTTATTCTTATTAAGTCGAACTACTGTTCTCTTGGGAAAAAACAAACGGAATGACAAAATCAAATTCAACTCTAACTCCAAAAAAATGATCTTCTTCTTTTTCATTGTTTTCTCTAGTTTCTACGTTTTGTTTTTGTTTTCATTATAGAAAGAGAAAACAATGAGAAGGAATAAACTAAAATAAAATGATTCACAATAGAATCACAATAGGGTGGGAAGACGTTCATGGGTTCATATTCACATTCACGCGTTTTTCTCCCATGAACATCCTCCCCCCCTTGGGACAGGGTTCCAACTAAACTATATAATATTAATTAATGCAATTGTCCATGGAAATTCAATTTAGTGGACACTAAAATCTAAATTAATTACAAACTGTTTTTAATTCAAAATATGACGATAAAATAAATTATGATGAAAGATATGGAAATATACAGTTAAAAAACAACGTTAATTGAGCCAGCAATCGTTGAGTCCCTCTGGGACAAATATGGTACTGCAACGCCTCCTCACACGGGTAAGAAAAAAAAACATTATTTAAATCTTTCGCTCCACGTCGCCGAAAAATGTCCATCCAAAGACGGTGTTTTGGGCATATGGCATGCCGCGCTCAAAACGGGTAGGCCCAGGAAAATGCCTTCAGATGCCGGCTTACCGAGTACCACATTGTATTTGCCGGGCTTCTCGAAAGTAGGATCCGCTACCGCCTTCTTCAAATACGCCTTTCTCACGCACTTCAAGTCAACCGGGTGCCGAGGCTCTAGAAGGTCTGACTCGCCCAGCACCTTCAAATTGGTGGTGTATGTCCGAACATTGTTGTTCGTTGACGTGAGAACGACCCGTACCGGACTGGGATACAATGGACCTTGGCTGGGTAATCCCATTTGAAGGGTACTCTCCTCACGCAGCGGGTCGATAAGCACACGCACCTTCTGTGGGGTTTCATCTAGGCCTGGGAAGTGGATAAAGACCTCTGCCGTCATGGACAACCAAACTTCTCGACGGTTATCTAGCGGGTGTAATAAAGAGTGGTGGGCGAAATTGCACACCCGACAACCTTCATTCCACGGGCAAGTTATCGCTCGGTGTCCCAGACCGAGACAATTTACGCAACCATTGTACTTGCGTACGATGGCTTCCTTATCGGAAGGTATCGCCGACAAGAAGGGGCGGCAGTGCCGGAACGAATGCCGTGTGTGGCATAAAGGACACTTGAACGCATCGTTGAAGCTCATCTGAAAGAGAGTAAGGCATCGTTAGGAAACAAATAGACAACAAGGACATATATTTCATCGGGAGAGACGTCAACGTTGACTGGCCAATCGAGCAAGATCTATTCGGGACGATGAAGGAGGACCAATTTGTGAACAGGGCGTGTAATCACTCCATTTAAAGTCTTGATGTCCACAACCCGAACCCTTTCGTCCTGACCGAAGTGTAATTTCATCACGCGGCCCAATCGCCACTCGTTTGGAGCAAGGGAATCAGAGTGTAGTACGACAATGTCGTCAACCTGTAGGTCATTTCGAGGCAGTTTCCACTTTGTTCGCCTTTGAAGCTCCTTGAGATATTCGGACTTCCATCGTCTGCAGAACTCCTGGGCAATCAATTTCAACCGTCGCCAACGGTTCAAAAGAGAAGTTTTATTTTCTACCTCGTCGGGTTCAGCTGGCGCTAGTAATGGTCCACCGATGAGGAAGTGACCTGGAGTAAGGGCGCTGATATCATCGATGCTATCTGTCAGGGGAGTAAGAGGCCTGGAGTTTAGGCACGATTCGATGTGAGCAAGGATAGTGGATAATTCTTCGAATGTATGACGAATTTGTCCCGAGATTTTCTTCAGGTGACTCTTGCAGCTTTTAACCCCCGCCTCCCACAGCCCACCCATATGTGGAGCTGCGGCGGGGTTAAAATGCCACTCCAATTTCTGGAAGCCGTAACGAGTAAGGGAGTCGTCCTTCGCCTCTGCGACAATCTTCATCAAATTAGAACGAATTTCACGGTCTGCACCCACGAAATTCTTACCGTTGTCCGAGTAAATATGACGAGGGCATCCACGCCGGGCAACGAATCGGGACAGAGCGGCAATAAAGGCAGGGGTGGAGAGATCACTGACAGGTTCTAAGTGTATCGCCTTGGTGGCGAAGCACACAAACAAGCAAATGTAACCCTTGGAAATGCGGCAACCTCTGCCACTAAAGTTCTTAATTTCAATAGGGCCAGCGAAATCGACCCCTGATGTGGAAAACGGCCGGGTAAAGGTAGTCCTCTCGGGAGGAAGAGCAGCCATCAGCTGCGTTTGTCGTTTCTTCTGAGCCAGAACGCACTTCGTGCAATGTCGATAGTGGGTTTTTACTAAGTTTCGGCCTCGTATGATCCAACATTCGAGGCGCGTTGTAGCCAGAGTCAGCTGAATGCCACCATGGTTGGTCATACGGTGAACATGATCCACGTACAGTGCAGCAAATCTGCTCTTTGGGGCAAGAATAATCGGGTACCGTTCATCGTACGGTAGAGAAAGGGTAGAACTCAAACGTCCATTAGCTCGAATAAGACCATCTTTGTCGAGAAAGGGATTTAGCGACAAAAGAGGGCTACCAGAATCAAGTTTTCGATTTTTATGGAGGCAATCATACTCCGAAGGAAAGTAGATTCTTTGAGAAAGAGACATCAAACGGCGACGAGCAAAGCCAATTTCATCTGCGGTTAATTTAATGCTATCAAAACAAACGGTTTTCTTGGTTTTTGGATGTGTCCTTTGGACAAACCGAAATATGTACGCTATGACATGAGTTGCAGTGGAGAGACGAGAAAACCTTTCCAATATATCTTCTTCTACGGCAGATCGAGCAAGATGAACTTTTACAGGTTTAGCTTCAAGGGTTGTTTCGGATATAACCGCGCCTGAGGGCCATTCACTTCTCGGCGATTTGAGCCAGCTTGGTCCATGCCACCATAAACCACACTCCTTTAGCTCTAAAGGAGTCCGCCCCCGGGTTGCTAAATCTGCCGGATTCTCATCTGTAGGGACATGATACCAGTCGCTCCCTACCTTCTCCTGAATAATAGACACCCTATTTGCCACAAACGTCGTCCAAGAGTAAGATGGTTTCTTGAGCCAAGACAAAACGATAGTCGAATCCGACCAAGCGAACAAAGAGGCTTTTGGAATATCCAACTGAGGCAGAACGGAATCGACTAGCTCGGCTAAGAGAAAGGCCCCACAGAGTTCCAACCGTGGCAAGGACAATTTCTTCAACGGCGCCACTTTGGACTTCGCAACGAGCAAATTCGTATAGACATCAGTACCAACTTCAACTCTCAAATATAACGCAGCAGCGTAAGCCGACTCTGACGAGTCACAGAAACCATGCAATTCAATATTGCAATTTGGAGAGTAATTTACCCAGCGAGGTATTCTAATCTCTTCGATTCCTGACGAAGTAGAGACAAAATTCTTCCAGTTTATCAGAGTAAGAGGCTTTAATGGATCGTCCCATCCAATCTCATCTAGCCATAACTGTTGCATCAGAATTTTCGCAGTTATTACAATCGGCGCGAGCCAGCCCAGAGGGTCAAAAATCTTCGCTATAATGGACAACACTTGTCGCTTCGTGTAAGAACTTCTTTCTTGAATTGTATCTATAACGAAGTAGAAACTATCTGATGAGGCATTCCATCGAATACCTAATGTCTTCGCAGAACTCTTGTCACCCAGATCAAGAAAATCTTCATTTAACAGATGCTCACGAGCAAGACCATCCAAAATTTCTCTAGAATTAGACGTCCACTTCCGGAGACCAAACCCGGCTGATGAAGGAATTTTTATCAATTCTTCTCTCGCTCTTAAACCTTCTGAGACAGTATGCACCCCTACCAACGCATCATCTACATACATATTGTTTCGTAGAATTTTGGAACCAATGGGAAAGCGATGCTCCTCGTCATCAGCCAGTTGCAACAGCGTCCTAAGAGCCAAGTAAGGAGCGCAATTGACGCCAAATGTTACTGTCTTTAACTGGTAATCAGAAACTTCCTCTTCCGGGCAAGATCGAAATAGAATGCGCTGATATTTGGAATGCAATGGGTTAATCCAAATTTGGCGATACATTTTAGAAATGTCCGCATTAAATACATATTTGTATAAGCGCCAATTCAAAACGAGCGAAACTATGTCCTTTTGAAGCGAAGGGCCAACATACAACACGTCGTTTAAGCTTTTGCCGTCTACCGAGGGACACGAAGCGTTAAAGACTACTCTCAACTTCGTCGTTACGCTTTCGGGCTTAAATACGCCATGATGGGGCAAGTAAAAACAATTTTGATAGTTGACAAACCCTTCTACTTTCTCCATATGACCCAGAGACAAATATTCAAGAATAACTTTGTCATAATCCGATTTTCGATTCGGATCTCTCATTAGCGATGTCTCATTCCGCAAAAATTGAGTCAGAGCAATATATCGGCTTGATTTTGACGCCAAAGAGAAAGGGTAATCGACTTTAAAGGGCAAGTTTACCGTATATCTCCCATCGGAGCCTCTGGTCGTCGTAGTTCGATAAATATCCTCGCATTTTTGGTCATCTACAGATACAATCGGAACTTTGGGAATCTCCTCAATTTCCCAGAACTTCGAAAGTTCGTCTTGCACTGATACTCTAGTGCAATGCGAGATGCTAAGTGACTTCAGATGGACTAAATCAGTTGTCGGACCGGTTAATATCCACCCAAATACGGTCTCTTGAGCCAAAAGCGAGCCAAGTACGTTTTTCCTTACTCCGTTGAGCAAGATAACAGGGTAAACGTTCCCACCGAGCAAGATGTCTACTGGACTACTTTGATAAAATTTTGGATCCGCAAAATCTAGATCCGGAAGTTCTTCAATTCGAATTTTGCCCAAGGGATGTGTGGGAATATCCCCCGTGATTTCAGGGACCACAAATGCCTCAAGGTCCAACGAGAAAGACCTATTTTTCATCGATCCAATTCTGACGGATGCTATCTTAGAACATTTAGTCAAATGTTCACCGCCCAAACCGGAAATGTCCGCAGACACCGAACTTGTGGGCAACCTAAGCATCTTCTGCACCCGAGCGGAAATAAAAGTGTCGTCCGAGCAAGGATCTATTAGCGCACGTACTTTATATGGAACACCATCCTTCAAAATATTTACCCAAGCCGTGGCAAGCATCGTTCTACTTGTGACCGAGGTATGAAATGCGCGAGTATTCGAAGAAGTAATCGGACCAGCCGATGTACTCGGAGTCACAGCCAACGACGTAGACAAATCTGTAGAAGCATTCGCATTAGAGCTATTATCTTGGGCAATCGTATTTTTATGAAGGAGGTTATGATGCTTTCCTTTGCATTTTGAGCAAGCAGGAGCCCTACAGTCCACCGCTTTATGACCCAACGCCATACAATTGAGGCAACGATTTTCTCTCTTAATAATAGTTAATCTTTTCCTGAAATCCATACTAAGGAACTTCGGGCAAGATTTCAAGGGGTGTGTCCCTTTGCACACACTGCATTTGTTCTCATTTACCTTAGTATGATGGACTCTGAATTGTTTCGATTTGTCATATTGGCTGTACGTTGGGCGAGAAGATTGAGAAGATCCTGGTTGTGCTCCATTCGAGCAAGTTATATCTGACACACTTTCCAATGCCTGAAATCTCTCCGTGAGAAATTTATTTAAGTCCTCCCAACGAGGCATTTCTGTTTTACTTGGCAGAGACTGTTCCCATACAGAAAGAGTGAGTTTAGGCATTTTTGAAGAGCAATGATATACAAATATAGGGTCCCAAGACTTTACATCAATCTTATATAACTCTAGGACCGATATACAATTAGTAACCTCCCGCTGCAATTTTTTAAGGCCACTCGCCGATTCTTGCCCGCAATGAGCAAGATTAAATAAATTTCTCAATTGAGTATTTATAAGAATTCTCTTATTATCATACTGGTTTCTCAAATTGTCCCAAGCAATTGAGAAACCTTCGGCCGTCAATGGGATATTTCGATTTATCTCTCTTGCCTCTCCACTTGTTTTTTGGAATAAGTGGTACAGCTTTTCAACGGGGCTTAATTTTTTGTTATTGATAAAAATCGCCGTGAATAAGTCACGAAAACTGGGCCAGGAAACATAATCCCCTTGGAACACTTCCATATCACACGGCGGGACTGCTACAGAGGAAGAAACTCTTTGTGTAACGGGAAACACTTTTGCTTTTTCCTTCCATTCCCCCAAAATATTAACACATCTAACGTAACTTTGGTGGGCAAGTTTTTATTTGTTTTTATAACCTCCTTATTTTTCTTATTACACTCAGCATCGGAGGTACACGCTTTCAGGGTTTCCTTCCATTCTGCCCATAAACTGCTGAGCTCTGACTTCTCAACTTCAACGGCAGACTCATTAAACCCTGACGCATCCGTCTCTTTTAAATTTTCTTCAAAGGAAATAATTTCCTCAGACTTATTTAAAAAGTCTTCAATACTGGCCATTTTCTTCGAGAAAGCTTAATCCCAAATGTTCAAATTTAATTGTAGAAATTATCGAACGTTACGCAAAGCGAAATATTGTTGTTAAAAAACCGAGCAAGAATCCAAGGGATAGTTACGTCCCACAAAGAGGAATATATTTATTGCAAAAATGAGCAAGAATCCCAGCGCAAATTATAATTCATATAGAGCAAGATATTTATTCAAAGTATTCAAATATTCCGTTGTAACTTTAGTTGCGACAAAAATATCTCCAAAAACAACAACCCAGAATAAGCACTTTTCGAATAGTACTGTATTAAATTATCCAAATGGTATGTATGCGCGAACAAGTTTAATTTTCTACGTGTTCCAAAAAATCCTCTTAGTCTCCAAATGAGCAAGTAATTTTACTTTTGTTAATGCCAACAAATCCACGAAAAATTTTCAATCATCAACGAAAAAGATTTTTTACCCAAAAAATGTACTTTTGTTTCGATATTTCAAACGAGAAAGTTATTTAATGAAATAGCCATAAGCGTTTCAAATGGTATTCCAATTACCAACTTATTTTTCACAGTAGCATCTAAATGGTATACATTTTTATATATGAGCAAGTCACTGTTTCAATTTCTCATTTCTGACCCACTGTGTCAAATACAAAAAGGGCAAAATTCATCCACAATAACAAAATTGTGTTCTTTATGTTTTTATTGTGCAAGGTAATTTTAACAATTAACCTTCACTTATTCCATTCACGACATTCAATTTCGCCAAAATCTCATAGATTCCATTAAACGTCGTTGTCCAAATTTATATACAGCTAAGCTTTACTTTTCCTTTTGTTTATATTTGCCTTGTATGCTTGTAATTATCTCCTAATGAGAATTATAATTCAGCACTCAACAACGAGAAAAAATTCGAGCAAGCAAATCCACCAAAGGGCAAGACCAAAACAAAATAATCGATGAATGTTAATAAATAGACGATAGCAATACGAACGCTCATACAACGAGAAAGTATAAATCATGCAAACAGAGTCAGCGTAACCGCAGTAGACAAACACACAAAAAAACCCAAGCAGAGCAAGAGCGACGTATAAACAACTGTGGCGACGCAAACGCCCAGGCAGAGCTACCACGCACAAGCAGCGACTCTCCAAAATATGTCAACAGTGGCTGCGCAAATGCATATAAGCAGAGCCAACAACGCACAAGCAGCAAATCACCAACAGCCTAGCAAAGGGCAAGCATTCACATATAAACAAAGCGCCACCAAATGTGCGTATGTCGATATGTCACGCTAATGAGTCTGACGGACGAACAACTTTTGTCTGTCTAACAGCAACACACAGACAAAGACTCAGCGCCACAAAAAAACAGCAAGCCACCAAATGTGTAAATGGATGAAGGGCAAACAATACAAAAAAATGCCGGTTCGCTACAGCAACACCATCCAGCGAAAGACGAATGTAAAGGGCAAGGCTTGATAAATACTCCAACGGTATCCAGTTAAAAAAAATAACTTAGAATACTTTGGAATTTGTTTGTCACAATTATGCAACAGGTAACCTCAATTTCTTTACAAAGAAAGTCCACGAATTTAGGGCCAATATACGTTTGTCTCCAAATGACAAATTATCGTGAAAAACATGCGTGGTACTTACTTTGACCAATGGATACCCTATTTCTTGCTCTTGATTTTGTTCCCGGTTGAGAAGGACCAGATGTTGGGGTGCTTACCAACGTTTCCAGAGTCGGCCACCACGGTTCAAGGTACCCCGGTCGACTCGATCCACTTACACTTTGGCAGGACGCGCTTTGATGGTGCAGCACGGTGACGATGTCTTCCCCTTTGGGCAAGGTTCTGTTTCAGCACACACTGTTGATGAAGGCAGTGAACGTTCCACTGTTCGGGCAAGGGCAAATAGCACGCAATATTTGTAATATGATTATTTCTCGTTGGCGCTTTATTTCACTACTTTTAATTTATTAGTTTATTCGCACCGATTCACTATAATTTTCCCACAATTCCAAAGAACTAACACTTGTGCTTTATTTTAATAACTTTATTTATTCTTATTAAGTCGAACTACTGTTCTCTTGGGAAAAAACAAACGGAATGACAAAATCAAATTCAACTCTAACTCCAAAAAAATGATCTTCTTCTTTTTCATTGTTTTCTCTAGTTTCTACGTTTTGTTTTTGTTTTCATTATAGAAAGAGAAAACAATGAGAAGGAATAAACTAAAATAAAATGATTCACAATAGAATCACAATAGGGTGGGAAGACGTTCATGGGTTCATATTCACATTCACGCGTTTTTCTCCCATGAACATGTCCATTAAATGTCAGATTTAGAAATGTTTAACACTAATTTCTTCGTAAGTCAGGAAAGAAACTTTTTCATTTGATATGGAAAATTTTCCAAGGAATTTAATTATAAAATATCAATTTTAACTTGATTTAATTATAATTTTTCTTTAGAAACAGTTGTTTTCATCAACATTTTCATTTCTACCAAATTCATTTTCAATTTTAAAAAATTAATTTTGATCGACATTTTTCGATAAAACACATTTCATTTCTATTGAAAAATGCAATTGATATCTTACATATATATTAAAGTCCTGCATTTAAAGTACATACCTGCAAAAAAGAGAAAAAATAATTATTAATATAAATTCAGTGTGAATCACAGCCAAAGTCAATGAAAACAAGTAATAAAGTATCAGCCGGTTTTGCCGACAGATCTTACCCATAGCCAAAAATAAAAATATATGTTGCCCTCTGTTACGGTTATTCAAATTGTTGACCCTCTATGGAGTAGGTGCCGAAGGAATGGACCAACATTGTCCATTTCGTATCGGATCTAAATAAATATGATACAAATATTGCGAAGTGCCAGGATTGGACAATATCGGCCACCTGCTTCACTTTATATGAGATATGTGATAATTTTTAGAAAATGTTAAAATGTGAGTGAGGTTCCAGATATAGTGGAACGAAATATCCCATTTTCAGACTTCATCTAATACAGGTAAAAATATTAATATCCTTTTTATGCGAAAACATTAATTCCGATAAAATCCATGTGCATAGCGAGTTGACCTGACTAGTCACGCAATTTATGACAGATATAAGTATTGAAAATTGTGGCTCCTTGTGGGAGAGGTACCAAAGGCGATGTCATATATCTATCATCTTCACAACACATCTTGTGTTAGCAAAAATGTTTGGATGTGTAAAATATGAAAAGAACCAGATACTTATTTCGCGTTTTATGGGCGTTTTGTTTTTCAAAAATTGTAATCCTTTGTGGGGGAGATACCAGAACGAGTGCACCGATATATCCCATCTTCACAGCAGATATTATTTTAGTAGAAATAATGGTATGTTCGACATATAATAAGGACTGGATACTTATTTTGGATTTTGTGATCGTTTTGGTTATTCAAAATATAGACCCTTCGTGGGAAAGGTACCAGAAGGAATGCACCGATGTATCCCATCTTAACACCAGATATTTTGTTGGTAAAAATATGGGTATGTGCGAAATATGAAGAGGACAGTAAGCTTATTTTTGATTTTGTGATCGTTTTGGTTATTCAAAATGTTGACACTTTAGAGGTATTGAGATGTGCCAAGTCTGAATGTAATCGGATGTTAGTTTCTGATTTTATGATCTTCTAGAATATTCAAAATTTTGACCCATTGTGGGGAGGCACCAGAAGGAGTGGACCGATATATTTCATCTTTACACCAGTTCTAGGGTTAATAAAAATATTGGGATGTGTGAAATTTGAAGACAATCGGACTCTTACATCACATGTTGTAAGAGTTTTAATTATTCAAAATGTTGACCCTTTGTGGGGAAGGTAATTGATGGACTGGACCGATATTATCCATTTTTACACCTGCATGATTTGCAAAGTTAGGACAAAATCGGATTATACTTTCCCTTTTGGTGAAGTAAATTATTTTCTTTTAAAATGATGACATTTTGTGGGGGAAGTACCAGAAGGAGTGAACCAATATTGTCCACCTCCGAAGTTTGACATTAATATTACGATGTACCAAGTTTGTATGAAATCAGATGCTCCCAGGCAGACAGACAGACGGACCTACACCGCTAGATCGACTCAGAATATCCTGAAATAGATTTTTTCCAATGAGACCTATGGTCTAAAACCGTTATTTGGATTAGACACATTTTGGCCGTATCAAATGATATATGTATGCCAAATATAGTACTAGATAGGTCTTTTCGTGCACTTTTTCAGCATCCATTTCCTAAAACCCCTCCTTATCGCAAACCTACTACTCACAGGGAACCCAATAAAAATTTTCAAAGTTCCATCTTCATCCGTTCACCCTGAACCAAAGCGTTCCAAATTTAGTACCATTTTGTACAGTTCGTACAGTTAATTCACATATGCAAAACCTCCACATTCATATATTGAACTTACTTTTTTAACCTTAATTCTCATACAAGATTGCAAATATTTAGCTCTATCCGTTCACATTATAGAATTTGGGACCTTTTTAAAGGTCACTAACATTTTAGAACTTTTCGTTAACTTAAAGTTCGAATTTGCAAAAACTTATACATATCCTGCACTCCTTTAGTGCTTCTTATAGCAAGCTTCAGAATTCTAATTCATTCTGTTTGTCCGAGATACTATTCGTACCCGTTTAGTGCTCCAAAAATATACATTATTTTTTTTTTTTTTTTTTTTGTAAAGCATGTTAAAGAAAATTTCCAAATAAATAATGATTAAAAAAAAAAAAATGTGTCTCATAAACACTTTTACGACTCTCATAATCCATTCGCAAAAAATTTAAATATTATTGTGGAACTTCTTTTTTTAATTACCACATTAATTCCTAACGTTTCTTGCTCCCAGCAAACACATCTACTTGGCCCAAATTGCATAAAAGATTTTATGTTTCTCTTTTTTTCTAAAAAAAAGTTAAAATAAAAAACAACGATGAGTGAATAAAGTTTAGTAGAACGAACACATAATGTCTTGGAGATACAACAGCAGCTGATGCCAAAATTCATGTGGTGTAAATTTCAAAATAACAGAAGAAGAAGAAAAAAAAACGAAAATAAAACCAGCAGCAACAGCCATATACCATTCACACAGCACAGCATGTTTGATGAATATTTTATCAATGTCAGTTGTGATATTTCCACTGGCAAAGGCAGTTTGGGGAGCAGAGGAAGAAAAATGTGTAGAAAATATTTAAGTGCCATGGGAAGTGAGAGGGGGAAGCAGGTTGGTAGAGGTCGTGTTGATAATGTATTTACCCTACACGGCAATTTTTCATGGACAGAAAAAGGTCTATTAGGTCGAAGGACCTGAATGTGAAAACTGCAACCAACTTCAGACGACTGTCATTTCTAAGCCACTCGTCTGACAGCTCTTAAAATTATTCCAGTGGCAGCTCATTACATTGTTTACAAGCGTACAAAAGCATTTTGGTGACAATTTTCCTGAAAAAAAGTTATTCGTGATGGAATTCAAGCGTGATAGTGTGATTTCTTTATATTTGGCTGGAAAACCACAAGTGGCTATCGAAAGAGCCACTTGTGCCTCGTACCACCGCTCCTTACAGTGATACTGGTACCGTAGCCCGACGTCTAGGAAGTGAACGGAAGAAAACAGCAACATCAGCAGAAATGGTTCGAAAAGTAAAGAAGCGACTTGATCGAAACCCTCGTCGTAGTGGCCGAAAATGGCTCGTGAGCTGAACTTATATTCCATTCGGGAAATATTAAAAAATGACCTGCTGAAGGTCTTCTATTCATAGAAGACCTGCAAAAGGTCTTCTATAGATAGATTGGAATTTCAATGGCTTTATCCCGAGCTCATTTTTTAATATTTCCCGAATGGAATATAAGTTCAGCTCACGAGCCATTTTCGGCCACTACGACGATCAAGTCGCTTCTTTACTTTTCGAACCATTTCTGCTGACCTGCAGAAGGTCTTCTATCCATAGAAGACCTGCGGAAAATCTATAAAAGACCTGTAGAAGGTCTTCTATCTGTAGAAGACCTGTAGAATGTCTTTTATCCATAGAAGACCTGTAAAAGGTCTTCTATCTATAGAAGACCTGTAGAAGGTCTTCTATATATAGATGACCTGTAGAGGGTCTTCTATCTATAGATGTTCTGTAGAGGGTCTTCTATCCTCTAGAAGGTCTTCTATCTATAGAAGACCTGTAGAAGGTCCTGTAGAAGGTCTTCTATCCATAGAAACCTCTAGAAGGTCTTCTATCTATAGAAGACCTGTAGAAGGTCTTCTATCAATTGAAGACCTGTAGAAAGTCTTCTATACATAGAAGACCTCTAGAAAGCCTTCTATCCATAGAAGACCTGTAGAAGGTCTTCTATCAATAGAAAACCTCTAGAAGGACTTCTATCCATAGAAGACCTGGTGGAGGTCTTCTATCCATAGAAAACCTGGTGGAGGTCTTCTATCCATAGAAGACCTGGTAGAGGTCTTCTATCCATAGAAGACCTGGTGGAGGTCTTCTATCCATGGAAGACCTGGTAGAGGTCTTCTATCTATAGAAAACCTGGTGGAGGTCTTTTATCCATAGAAGACCTGGTGGAGGTCTTCTATCTATAGAAGACCTGGTGGAGGTCTTCAATATATAGAAGATCTGGTGGAGGTCTTCAATATATAGAAGATCTGGTGGAGATCTTCTATCTATAGGAGACCTGGTGGAGGTCTTCTACCTATAGAAAACCTGGTGAAGGTCTTTTATCCATAGAGGATCTGTGTAGGGTCTTCCAACCATAGAAGACCTGTTGAAGGTCTTCTATCTATAGATGACCTGGTGAAGGTCTGCTATTTTCTGGTGATATTTCCTGGTGAAGGACTTCTATCTTTTGAAGACCTGTAGAAGATCTTATATTTATAGAAGACCTGTAGGAGGTCTTCTGTCCATAGACGACTTTTAGAAGGTGTTCTCTCCATGAATAATATGTAGAAGGTTTTCTCTCTATAGAAGTTCTCCTATCCACGAAGGACCTATAGGAAGCCCTTTATCTT